AACGTATTCGAAGCTGTCAGCGGTAACGGCAGTCAGCTACAAGTTGACTCCAATGCACTTACTGTGTTTTCGGATAATCTGGTGACTTATGAGAATACCTTGATTTCTATGAATTGCATGAGCGACCTCAACTCGAGCTCAGTCCTAGAGGTAATAGCGAGACGCCTACCTACTCATATGCAAAGGAAGTGGGTGAAGATAAGCTCTCGTTTAGAGGATGAGGGTATCGAGCCAAGGTTTGATGATATTCTGTGACTGGTGAAGGACAGTGTAAGCCAGGCGATAAGCAAGTTTGCTAGTATATTGAATCTCACCCCTGGAATAGAGTTGTCTGAGGGTAAAACGCAAGTACTGATGATGAAATGGTCTCAGAGAGGTGGATATCGAGAGGGCTTTATGGTGTGTGGCAATGTATATAGACACAGTGAGTGTAACATCTTCCGTGGCACATCCTCAACAGGTAAGATACAAGAGGTAAGGCAAACACGGTTTTGTTTTACACGTTTGCAAGAAGTGCACACAAAGATGAACTGTGAAACCAGTGAGCAAGTTCAGTGATAAGCTAAATGTAAACTCCAGGCCTGACTCCAAATTGTGTGACGATAACGGTGCGGTCAGGAAGTCTGTAGTTACAACTGGTAAGCCATTGTTGAATAGAGTGTCACAGAATAGATTTGCTGCTTCAGAGTGCAGTTCTGACTCTACAAGTTTACAAGGTATTACTAGTCAGAGTGAAGATTTAAAACTTTTAATGATTTGTGAGGAGGAACCAAAATTGTCCTCTTCTGTCATTAAAGAGTTTGAAAATGATGAACTTGACGGTAAATTGAATATTTGTGGTAATGATCATGATAGTGCAGATTTGTCTTTGGTTGATCATGAAGAGATGAGTCGAATGCCTACTACTGCTAAGTTGAACAAAGTTTCTGTACAACTTGAACGTGAAGTAGAGTTAAATGCAGATGCAGTTGCAGAAGGCATGCATACATGTCAAACCGTCAGTGTAATTGATCAGCGTGTAGCCCACCTATCATCAGATGATAGTGCTAAACCTGAGCTGATAGTAAAAGACAGCAGTGGTGGTGTTGCAGGTAGAAAACTATCTGAAAGCCGAACAACAACAGCTTCTGATCCACCACTAAGTTCATCAACCGGTATCAATCAGTCGTCGTCGGTGTTGTCATCCACAATGAAAAGGACACCCGTGAACTCTAGTATCTTGTGCAATGACTTTGATAGTATTGATGGATTTGAAAAGATGAAAGATATTGGTCAGTTTAGTGAGGATAAGCCAAGTGTGTACGAGAGAGTAATTGTTAAATTGACTTGCATGAATAAAGGCATTTCTAGTTTCAAGTTACTATTTGAATGTTATTATCTTTGGTGTAAATTACTCTGTGTCTACACTTGGTTGATGAGATATGTCGTGTGTTTGTTGGTCATCTATATTCTACGATACAATGACATGGGCGTGTTTTCGTTCAGATTTGAAGATATAGCTCATAGAAGGAAGCCAGTAAATGAACTCTGCGACGATTTTCCAACCTAGGGCGTCAACCTGAGAAGGGTTGTAGGCGTACTGCTGTAAGTCCCACAATTCTTCAAAGGGTAGCGCATCAATGAGCAGCCCAATGTGCTTGGTGTGTGATTTTGTACATATGATCATATTGCATATACTGAATTGATATCATCTGTCATCTAGCTGTTGGTAATTCTGTTTGTGTCCGGACGACTTCCACTTGTATCATCAACCTGAGAAGGAATGTAGGCGTACTGCTGTAAGTCCTACAGTTCTTCACGGGTAGTTTGTCGTGTCAGAATCCACAACATTTGATGTGTTGATTGTACATATGTTTGTGTTAAATAGTTGTGTGAGTTCCAATTATTGTAATTGTTGAATAATCTTGTTTGTTTCTGGACATTCCACAACTTACAATCGTCAACCTGTGAAGTGTTGTAGGCGTACTGGTGTAAGTCCTGCAATTCTTCAAAGCAATTCCACCAAGAGATGATCGGCGAGGTTGTTTGTACTATTTGTATATAGGAGTGGTGTGTCATATCAATTGGTGTTTTTTGGATTCATTGTGTTTACTTGTTGTTTTCGTGTCTTGTTGTTATTGCGTAATTTTGTTAAAATTTTCGTCGTGATTATTTCTGAAGTTGTTTCGAGTCTTCTACATCCATGGATGAATTGATTGATGTTAAGGACAGCAGATGGCTTGTATACGCCGGGGAGGCTAGGCTATTGCTGAGAATGAAATGCATACGGAGATAATTGTTAGTTGCTGTCCCACACGCCGGGGAGCGACAGTGTAAACGACTGAGGCTCGCATACTTTACCGTTACTAGAATTGAGGCACAATGAGTGACAACGATTGCAGTGGTAATTGGTAGTGAGTAGATAAGAGGATGTGCGTAGAGTATCATGAGGTGCTGCTATGGTCACGTTGCATTCTGCAAGAGTCATTCTAGCAAGTGGCGGTTGTGTTACAAGATGTCAAGAGGATACCTTTATCTGGAGGCGCCGGTCGTCATTGATGTGTGAGATTGTGCTGTGGGTATGCTTGTGGTGTGTTGGCTTTTCTGTTTGTTTTCCATTTCAGCTCTGTCCGTGTGACCCAGGTTCTCGCAATGGCATCCAAGTCAACGTGTATTGGTCGTGATGGAAAAAAGGAATGGATCCGTATTTTGCCGGGGAGTGTCAATGTAGTTGAAGATTGAACGATCAATTCTTGGTTGTTTGCTCAAAACCAACTTCCCCAATTTTCGCGGAGGCATCAATACGACAGTCATCGTCTCATCGGTCGCTGTTCAGAAAGAAGTCAGGACAAAACCGTCAGAAGTAATATTGTGATTTATTATTGTAATATTTGTTCATAGACCTTAGTTTTAAAGCTGGCTGTATGTTGGTGTTACAATAAAGAATTCTCGAGTTGTCAAACTGGGTTCTGGATTTTGCATCCATTCGTACTAAGCGTTTCTGAGAAACCTCAAGGAACAGTGTGAGTCCCAGCGTAGCATGAGCTGGGCATTAACGGTTTATGAAACGTGACTGACCGGGGGTCATTTCAGGCTAACTTTGCCAGGAAACTCCTAGCAGACACAAATACTTGTATGGATTCATGTCGGAAAGTTAACCAACCAACCAGGAGCTTGCGCCGTAGCAGGCCAAGACGGTAAATATCTCACTAGTCTGGAGGTGGTGGAAACATTTGGTTTGGTCTTTGCCAAACAGTTAAAGAGCAACGTGGGTATTACCGGTGGGGACTGAAATGGTGGCATTACTATTTCACCGGCTACTCCCCAAATAAACCCGGCAACAGCACTAGGGAAGCTACTGCAACTCACACCTGGGAAGTCTCCAGGTTGTGACGACATCAGGCCATCTGCTCTAAAACACTGTGCCGAAGCTCTCTTTGGGCCCTTATGGGACTTGTTCTAACACTCAATGGATTCAGGGAAACTTCCAAGGGATTGGAAAAGAGTCATCCTTTCTCCGATCTTCATGGGTGGGAATAGGTAAAATGCCACTAGTTATAGACCAGTAGCTCTACTCCCAGTGGTATAAAAAGTAGTGGAAAGTATCATTGACGATCACATCAGGGAATACCCCGATAGGTCTGATATACTCCATGGGATGTGAATGTTCCTGTCCAAGTGATCTTCATAGACTTTGAGGAGGCATTTGACACAGTTCACCATGACTTTCTCCTACATAGAATAAGTCAGGCGCGTATATGAAAGCCACTTCTGTCATGGTTAAGGGGCTACCTAGCTGAAAGGCAGATTTGCACTAGCGTCAATTGAGTCCGACCTTCATGGCGCCGCTTGTCATCTCGAGTGTCACAGGATTCTATCCTTGGACCGCTGATGTTTTTGATTTTATCAGTGATCTACCATGCCGTCTAATCTACCCGAATCTTCTATACGCTGATGACGTAAAGATATGGAGGGCGACAAAGCCTCCAGAGGACTCAAATAGGCTACAGGAAGCTCTAAACCTTCTGGAAGACTGAGCGGTGGCCAGTGGCATGACTTTCAACCTGAAAAAGTGCAAAGTAGTGAAGTTACGCACCTGTAGACTGAAGAATGCAAGTTACACCCCGTGCAATGAAAGCTCGGCCTTCACAACGTCGGAACACGACTTAGGTCTACTTCTAACGGAAAAATGGACACAAGCGTAAATTACACGGGGGACGTAGAGAGGGCATATGTGGTAATACACTTTACACATAGACAGTTAGGTGCACTCACTCCTGAGCTCTTTCTAAGGTTGTACAAAACATACGCCAGACCACACCTTGAAGTGCACTATATTATTGCGTCCCACTGCTTAGAAGAGACGCCAACCTCTTGGAAAGAGTTCGAAGATGGGCAACAAAAGGAGTGGTCAGTCTCCGAAACACACCATATGAAGAAAAGCTAAAGAAATTAGGCCTATTTACACCTAGCTACCGTCGGCTTAGGGGGGATTTGATTACCGCCTACAAAATAACGAATGATCAGAATCACCCAAACAAAGGTGCTCTGCCATTGATTAGGGATATACTTCCTCGCAGAAATCCCAGAAGGATAGTTCACCAGAGGGCAAGGTATCGGGTGCTCTCTCACTTCTTTTCACTGCTGGTGTGACCGTCCCTGGAATTCCTTACCAGTAGGTGTAGCTATGGCACTGTCTGTGGACGCTTTTAAGAGAAGATTGGACAATCATGCAGCGGCACAAGTACTGCGTCCAGATGGCCTATCCCCGTAAGATACCATACACCATTCATGGGTTGACAACTAAGTTCGTCGTTGGTTTATACTAGCTCGTAAAAACGATATTGGATTTGGATATTGACGGTTCATACCTATACTGCGTCACTGACAAATTTTAATTGAAGACTTAGGAAGAATAAGAGGCAGCATTTGGGTTTTTCTCAGACACATCACAAGAGCACTTAAAATCTGTGCTTATAGTGACTAGGAGGTTTGTGTGTTTAACCACAGTAAAGGAAATCCTCTAACTATGGCGTGTTTTTAAATTATTTTTCGTAAAGTTCGCTAAGGTAAGTGTTTTTAAAAGTGTGTGGAGCTGAAGGGATTTTGTTGGAATGTTAATCAACCTACAATATGATAATAAAATGGTTTTTTAAAATTTAGTGGAATCACCTTAAAATTGATGGTGCACATCTGACTGATTTACAAGGTAATTGGGCTCCCAATCTTGAGATGAGTGTTTCAGTTATTCCAAGCGAACTCTTTCAGTTAACCAACTACATTCAAGTTAACTTATATGCTAATCATAAAGTACACTCAAAAAGTGATATTTTTGTTATATAATCGGTCTATATAATTTTAAAATAAAACCATAAACACGTTTGTGGAAGCTGTTCTGCTGAATGAAGATATCTTCGTTAAATAATCCACGAATAATCCAGCATGGCTAACGTTTAGAAAATTTTCACGGAATAGTCACTTTACTTGCGTAACCATAACTCAGTAATTGCATGATTTGAAATTTATGTATTATTCATTCAATAACCTGAAGTTTATGACACTTGTCATATTTATCTAAACAGACATCATTTAATGCTCAAATTGTCGTCGTTGCAATTTAAAAGAATCTCTTATAGGGTGGATACTTCTGAGAACTAGTTTGCCTGTTGAGTTTACACGAAAGACTCACTGGACTACTGAAGATTATGATTCCACAATATCACGAAAAAGTACTTCACTAGGATAGTGGAATAAAGTCGCCGTAGGTGTGTAATTTTGTGAGATTTAAATGCATCATCCATTGTCGATTTCTAGTTTATGTTTTCTTTTTTGGATTTGTATACTAGAAAATTGTGGCTGTTTTGGTTTTGCACACCGTCAGAGGTAATACATAAAGTAGAATAAAAAGTCGCACTGAAATTAAAATCAATAATCCACATGTTTTTGTTTCATGTCTCATAATACACAACATTTGTGGCATTTTATCCATATGTAGGTAATATTAGCTATGCCCCACAAAACAATAGACTTTCGACTTTGAACACCTGCAATAATGTGTAGTTGTGTTATCCTACTATCTACACAAAAGAAGTTTTCAATTGTGCTTGAAGAAGGAAGCGTATCATACCGCTCCAAAAACATCAGCAGCAAGTTTTTTAAAGCATCGGTCAAGCACCACTCATTGAAGACACTTTTTGCCAATAAAACCAAGCAAATTATCTTTTTACTGATAAACTTTTCTGCATCCTATAAAAAAATTCGTTTACTATCGTTAGCTAAAATTGAAATGTGTTTAATTTAATGAAGTTTCAGTAGCAAATTGGCGTTATTTTGATGTGGTTTTGTTCTCTGAGCTGGATAGTTAGTTTGCGAAGCTTTCATCACCTTACTGGGTGACATCTTCAGCGCATACTTCAAATTGAAGTGAGCTTTTAGGTTTCTCCACGAGTTTATTAATCATTCCTCCTGGTGACCTTGAACGTGATTGGTTGTTTATGTATGTTTTCACACCTTCTAGGTTACTTGTGTTGGAACTGATTGTTTCTGTGACTTGAACTTTGGCCAATCGTGTGTGAAGTTTCTTTCTTATTGGTTGATAAATTTTGTCTATCTCGATGTGTCTATTGATTGATGATTCACTGGAATGCCAAGCTTCTAAAAATTCTCTAGCATTCTTGTTATTTCCTTTGTCTAATATTTGAACGTTGTCCCAGTCGAATTGATGTCCGTGGTTGTCTGTGTGTAGTGAAATGAGGGAGTGTATATCATGTCTTTTGACGGCTAGCTTATGTTCGTGGATACGAAGACGAAGGGGACGTCCACTTTGGCCAATGTAGTGTTTTTCACAGTTGTTACAGTTTATTTTGTAGATGATGTTGGTTTTGTCTTCTTTTGCTGTTGAGTCTTTTGGTTGACATAGAATTGAGTGCAGCGACTTTGTTGGTTTGTGTACGACGTCAATTCCTAAAGGTTTGAAGAGTCTTTTAGTGATTTCTGAGATATCCTTTATATATGGTAAGGCGATTTTCTTTGTGTTTTCCTTGGTGGCTTTTGTTTTGGTAGGTTGGCTTGGGGGTATATGTCTCTTGATGAAATTCCGGGGATATCCATTCTTTTGGAAGACGTCCATGAGATACTTTTCTTCAATTTTTCTTAAGGTGGGAGTGCTGCAGTGAGTCCTTGCTCTCTTGAATAGTGTTTGTATGCAGTTCCTTTTGTGTGCTATTGGGTTGTTGCTGTTGTAATTCAGTATTTGGTCTGTGTGAGTTGATTTCCTATAAACTTGAGTTTCTAATTCTCCTGTAGTTGTTCGCCTGACTAAGGCGTCCAAAAATGGTATTTTGTTCTCGGATTCCTCTTCTCTTGAGAATTTGATGTCGTTGAAGACGTTGTTTATTAAGTTGTGAGTTTTGTCTAATTCGTTTCTTTTGATTATTACAAATGTGTCGTCCACGTAGCGTATCCAAATCTTGGGTTTGATCTCTGGTAGAATTATGTTTTCGAGTCTTTGCATCACTGCTTCTGCAATCAAACCTGATATTGGCGATCCCATGGGTGTTCCTTTGACTTGTTCATATATTTGGCCGTTGAATTGGACGTCTTAGTCAGGCGAACAACTACAGGAGAATTAGAAACTCAAGTTTATAGGAAATCAACTCACACAGACCAAATACTGAATTACAACAGCAACAACCCAATAGCACACAAAAGGAACTGCATACAAACACTATTCAAGAGAGCAAGGACTCACTGCAGCACTCCCACCTTAAGAAAAATTGAAGAAAAGTATCTCATGGACGTCTTCCAAAAGAATGGATATCCCCGGAATTTCATCAAGAGACATATACCCCCAAGCCAACCTACCAAAACAAAAGCCACCAAGGAAAACACAAAGAAAATCGCCTTACCATATATAAAGGATATCTCAGAAATCACTAAAAGACTCTTCAAACCTTTAGGAATTGACGTCGTACACAAACCAACAAAGTCGCTGCACTCAATTCTATGTCAACCAAAAGACTCAACAGCAAAAGAAGACAAAACCAACATCATCTACAAAATAAACTGTAACAACTGTGAAAAACACTACATTGGCCAAAGTGGACGTCCCCTTCGTCTTCGTATCCACGAACATAAGCTAGCCGTCAAAAGACATGATATACACTCCCTCATTTCACTACACACAGACAACCACGGACATCAATTCGACTGGGACAACGTTCAAATATTAGACAAAGGAAATAACAAGAATGCTAGAGAATTTTTAGAAGCTTGGCATTCCAGTGAATCATCAATCAATAGACACATCGAGATAGACAAAATTTATCAACCAATAAGAAAGAAACTTCACACACGATTGGCCAAAGTTCAAGTCACAGAAACAATCAGTTCCAACACAAGTAACCTAGAAGGTGTGAAAACATACATAAACAACCAATCACGTTCAAGGTCACCAGGAGGAATGATTAATAAACTCGTGGAGAAACCTAAAAGCTCACTTCAATTTGAAGTATGCGCTGAAGATGTCACCCAGTAAGGTGATGAAAGCTTCGCAAACTAACTATCCAGCTCAGAGAACAAAACCACATCAAAATTATCCACCTGAGCTACAAATCTTCTCTATCATATCTAAATTGGCGTTATTTCTGCTAGGTTTCTGTCGACAAAAAGCTACAGAGTACCAAACTTTATATGCTTTAAAAACTAGATTTTGTGGGCATTGTGTTACGACCCATTTAAACTGTAGAACGTCAGTGGATACTTAGTTGTTTAAATGTTGCTGACATATATCTTGGGCCCACATAGTCACAGACAGATTCATGAACAAAATCTGTACAGGCTGTTTTCATTTCAATAAGCAATGACTAATTTAGAGCAGCATTTATTCTCCATTTTATTCTTCCCGATACGTCATCACCTTTAAATCCAAGATTGAGGAAGACTAGTTTCTTTTCTACTATATCAAATGTTGCTGTTATATCCGGTAGCCTCGGTGAATTTTCGAGGTTATTCATTGTTTCGTACATAATTTTCAATGATAAGCTCATCATTAAACCTTTTTTCGGACATATTGTTTCGGTGAGGTAGAATAATATCCTCACTAGACCTTTCTTGTCGTTTATTGAACAGGATTTTTATAAATTCAGGTACAGCCTATTCCAAAATTCTTTATGACGAATACATCTTCGCATACTTCCATATGTAGTTCGTAGAATTATGAGACCCAGGAAATCAAACCTTTTACCTTTTTCATAATTCATAGTAAAATCTATATCCATGCGCCTTATTAAATCGATCACCTAAATAGGTAGCGTGTTTGTTATCATTGCATATCATTTATTGTAATTGTAGTATTAGTATTTCGAGATGACCGAATTACACGAATCCAACCAAAACACAGAGAGGGCGGAATCCAGGAATTTGTATTTAGCGGAATTATTATGCAATTCATATATGAAATATTAACAATCAACAGTAAGTATTTAAACAATACAGACATAGAAATAGTCAATCACCACATCCGCCACACGTTGAATGTCTCCTTGCGTATTTATAATGATATCGCGGTTTGCTTGCCAGTCTCTGCGATCTTCTAACTGATTCTGTGATATCATTTCCATCAGTATCATCTAGACTTATTTCTGAATTATCTACAAAGTCGGGATTAGTAGCGGAGTCATTATAATCATAATCGGAACGACCTACCTCATTTATTCTCACTTGATCCAAGTGTCTGTTATGAACTGAATTATCTTCGATGTCTAATATCTTCACCATTCGATTTCCCATTCTTTGTAGTATGATACCAATAGAAGGTCTATAATCATTCCCTCTGTAATAATGTACATCAGAAGTCGTGGACATCAGATGCTTTCTGAGAATTCGGGATTTGAATAGTTTTGCAGGACTTTCATGGGTACTTGTATGCTCCGCATTGCGATATTGAAGTAAGAAGTTATCCACACATCTCTCTAGCTCATCAAAATTTTGAGGACTCATTGATGCTATAGCACTCTTTAATGTTCGTACAAAATTTTCTGCCAACCCGTTTGACTGAGGATGACGTGGT